ACCAATGAATTCACACGGGTCACTTTATCGATTCAACCATTTGTTGGATCCAATTATTTCAAAAGACCCTGCTGTGCCATTGTCAGTGATATTTGAAAGATTGTGGAAAAGAGCCAAGCACCAGAGTAGAGAAAGGCAAATATCATACCAATTTTCAAAAAAATGAAAGAGCAAAGAATTTACAAATTATAAACAAGTGAGTTTGACTTTGGCTCCTTGGGAAAAATTTCCTATGCATCATTAAAGAGGTTGATGAACACCACACCAATCTAAACTTACTTCCCAACTTAAAAGGGTTACTAACCAGGTAGTTGAGGGGAGGGCTATAGATATAATATACCTAGTTTTTAGCAAAGACATTTAAGAAAAGATCTCATTATTCTCATGAAAAAGATGGAGAAATGCAGGCCAGGTAAAAATACATTTAGATGCATTCAGGACCAGTAAAGAAGTAGTTAATGGTTCAATGCCAGTTTGGCAGGATTTTCCAGTGGGGAGTCTCCCCCACCCCCACCAATTTGTGCTTGTCCCTGTGCTGTTTAACGTTTTTATCAGTCATTTAGAAAAAGTCATAAGATGGCTTGGTTCTAAGATCTGACAATCACATCCAGCTGGTAGGTCTAGCTAACACACTGAAAGACAGTCAGTATCTAAAAAGGTCTTGCCAGGTTACAGCTGGGGTCAGCAAACTCTGGCCCACCTGTTTTTTTATGGCCTGTAAGCTAAGAATGGCTTCTAAAAATGCTGACTCCTAGGGTTAGAGTATTGGGATGAAATCTAGAAAGATGTAATTTAATATGGTTTAAAAATCAGCTTCTCTAGTACAAGACGGGTTCACTGAAAAATCTGGGGGTCTGATGTGAGAGAAAGCTCAATAGGAGGAGTCAGTAGAGTAATATGGGAGTGAAGAAAGCTAATCTGCATGGAGAGGTGTGGCTTCCAGGAGTAATGAGGTGATAGTCCCACTGTCCTCTGTCCTAGTCAGACCAAACTGAAGTACTGTGTTCAGTTTTGGGCACCACATTTTAGGGAGCACATCAGCAACCCAGGCGGGTGTCTTGAGCTCCTGCCATATGAGGATCAGTTGGAAAAAACAAAGGTTGAACAACAAAAGATTTAAGGGGAGCATGAGAGTTATCTTCAAGTATTTTAGGAGCCATCAAGTGAAAGAAGGATTATAATTGTACTCTTTGTCCATAGAGGTCACAACCAGAAGAAATGGGTGGAAGTGGCAAAGAGGCAAATTTAGGTTTATTATAAGGGAAAAGACAAACTGCCAAACACACCATGTCAGCTAGATTCTTCCAAAGTGATTCCATTTGGGGTTGTCTAAGAAGGTTGTGAATGGGCTCCCTTTCACTGGAGGTCTGAAAATGAAGGCCTTTTGGCAACTTGTTGGTTGTAGAAGGGAATATTGTTCAGTTCTGATTTTGACCTAGTGGCCTCTGAGGCTTCTCCTGAGTCTGTGATTGCAGGGAATGAAATCCCTGACAGACACAGAACGTGATGGTTAAGGGCCTCTCTGGAAAGACTGATAAAAACACAATGCAAAATGCCCACTGATAACAATGACTTCTTGTGAAAGTAGCTCTTGGAGAGATTCCAAATGCAACATGAACCTTTAGAGAGCTGCTATTAAGAAGAATAGCATAAAAAACTACTCATTAAGTACATCAAATACAGACCTACTCTATGCTTTAGGAGATGAGGTGTAAATAATTCACTTCAGCACTTACAAGAGAAATGATTTTAAAACACAGACACACACACACACGTACACACACACACACACATGTGCACACACACACACACACACACACGCTTTAGAAGAAAACAGCCAAAATAAAAGAATACATCTTAATGAAATAATTTCATGGTTTAACTGAAATTCTTCTACAAAGCTGATATATTAGTCAGTCATCAAACATTTATTAAGTGCCTACTATGTGCAAGGCACTGTGCTGAGTCCTGGGGATTCAAAGAAAAGGAGAACATGGTCCCTGCTCTCAAGGACCTCACAGTCTAAAGGGGGGGGACATCATGCAAGCAATTATGTACATAGGAGATACACACAGAATAAATAGGAGGCATTTTCAGAGAGAAGGCAGTAGACGTAGGGAGGAAAGCAGGAACAGGAAAGGCCTCTTGTAGAAGGTGGGATTTTAGCTGAGGCTTGAACTGAATCAAGGTAGAAGTGAAGGGATAGGGAAGCATTTGTAGAGGACAGCCATTGAGAAGGTAAAAAGTTGGGAGACTGTCCTGCGTGAGAAGCAGGAAGGCCACTGTCGATGGATTATAAAGTATTTGGAAGGGAGTAAATTATAAAAAAAAGATTGGAAAGATGGGAAGGATCCAACTTGTGAAAGGCTTTAAAAGCTAAATGGGATTTTTCTATTTGATACTGAAGAATAAGGAGTCATTGGAGTTTATTGTGTGCGTGCGTGTGTGTGTGTGTGTGTGTGTGTGTGTGTGTGTGAGAGAGAGAGAGAGAGAGAGAGAGAGAGAGAGAGAGAGAGAGAGAGAGAGAGAGAGAGAGAGAGAGAGAGAGAGAGAGAGAGAGAGAGAGAGAGAGAGAGAGAGAGAGAGAGAGAGAGATGTGAGTGTCAGTCACATCCTTATCCTTCTCCCATCTGAGTGGAAGATGGACTGGGGATTAGAGGGATGAGAGACCAGAAGCAGGGAGATCAATTAGGGAGCTGATACAATAGTCTAGGTATGAGGTGATGAGGGCCTGCACAAGAGTGGTGTTTGTGTGAGTAGAGAGAAGTTGACATATAGGAAGAGGTGATGAAAGTGGAAGTGACAATACTAGAAAACAACTTAAAATGTGGGATGTATATAAGAGAGGCATTAAGGTTAGGAGTCTGGGTCAGTGGGAGGACAGTGGTACCCTTCATGGTAATTAGGAAGTTGGGAAGAAGAGAGAGTTATGAGATAAAGATAATTAGTCCTGTTTTGTTCATGTTGAGTTTTAGGTGTACAATAAGTGATGTGAGTATGGAAGGCAGGAGAGAGGTTAGGTCAGGCTAGAAAAATCTGAGAATCATCTGCATAGAGACTGTAACTGAATGCATGGGAGCAGATGAGATCATCTAATGAGAGTGTAGAGAAAGGAGAGAAGAGAGCTCATGACAGATCACTGGGGAACACCTATTGTTACTAACCCATTGTCAGGAAGCATGACCTGGATGAAAATCCAGAAAAGGAGAGTGAGAGTGAGGGGTCAGGGGTCATACAGGTAAGAGAAGAACCAGGTACCATGCACTAAAATTCAGAGTTGATAATGTAGATACATTAAAAAGCATCAATATGTGCTTAAAGTGGTTTATTCTTTAGCTACTTCTTTTTTTATTTTTTTATTTTTTGCTAGGTAATGGGGTCAAATGACTTGTCCAGGGTCACACAGTTAGTAAGTGTTATGTGTCTGAGGTCGGATTTGAACTCAGGTCCCCCTGAATCCAAGGCCAGTGCTCTATTCGCTGCGCCACCTAGCTGCTCCCCTTTAGCTACTTCTTAACATACATTAGGCCAACCAAATTTCAGCATACATAAAAGACCTATTTCAACTATCTTAACTGTAACATTTCACCTTGGAAAAAAAATTGCACTTGGGGAAATGACATATAGATTTGTTTTCTCTCTACTTCACTGAGAAAGTTATTCTTTCTGCTGTATGATAAGGCTCCTGATATGGAGAACATGTGACAAATTCCACTTTACTGACAGCTGCATTTAAGTGGTTTATCAAAGATATCCTAGAAAAGTAACCTGGCATGAAGAGAGTCATATTCATCTAAGAAGCTAGTAACTTTCAGCCAATGGTTATCTATACAGTGCGTTGAGAAAGGAACCAAGTCTTTAGCTAATTCAAGCTTCTTCCTCTCCAAAAATAAAATCCTACCTGGATACTTTGGACTAAAATAAAACAGCCTGCTCAGATACTCAATTTCAAATTGTGTATTTATGTTGTCCAGAGATGTAAACTCTTTTAGGAGCTGTCCACTAAATGTTGAGGCAATTGGTTCAGTGTGAGCTAATCTTACTAAAACTAGCCAGGCCTTTTTTTTGTTTTGGTTGAATGGAGTATGGTCTTTTTTAACATCAAAGAGAAACTGCAGTTGTCGGATGGAATTTATGCTTATTGACTCCCACTCTGTCCAAGGACTGAATGGCAAATTGTCTATGTGGATCATAAGATTGTGTCAGTTTGTCTTCATTGAGCAGCTCTGGGGAGGAAATATACTTTAATCTAGAAGAAAGTTAATAAAATGCGACCAAAGGAACATCTTTAAGTTACTCTGAACTTAGTGGCTTCTGCTCTCTTAATTATTTATTTATTTATTTTTGGTAAGTCACAAAGCATACCTATACCAATTAACAATGGCATCCAAAATGTGTTTACCTATGCAGAGTGAAGTGGATAAATGAATTCCACCAAAACCCTAATTCAGACCCTAAATCCCACCCTTGACCCAAATGTGTGGATAACTGCTTTAGTTCTGGGTGGGTATGTGTCTAGAGACAATGCCACTCTGAAATGGGAACAGATCATTTCTATGTGAGCATTGCTTTACTGAGTGGATGGAGATGTGCCACAGCTTTCCCTCTGTCATGCCTCATGCCTCATTAAAACAATCTTAAGAAACTTGGAAGGACTGAATATTTTGGTCTCGTGTCAATTTTCACAAGATTCAACTTGCTTATACAAATCCCAGTATTCAGGTGAGTTTGAAATCCCATTCTTCAAGTTTATACCTCATTCCCTTCCCCTTCTGTTCACAGGGAGGCAAGTCTGGGGCTTTCCCAGTAGATGGTAGCAGTTATAGCACTGAGTTATCTCTTTTGCCTTTATCATGACACCCTCCTCGAAGGAATAATTCTAAAGAATAACAAAGGGAAGCTTGGCCCATGGAGTCTATTTTTTTTTCTAATAATGATATAGGACAGGTCTGCCCATATTAAGCAAGGAAGAGAAAAAAATCAAAATGTGTAATACTCACCTGGTTCCTGTCCCTGGCATTTGCATATCGGAACCTCTGAATATAATAAAAGACCAGCCACGCGAGTGATATGATCATCAACACAATGAAGGAGATGGACACAAACACAACCGACGTGCGACTGACGTATTTCTGCAAGTTGCGTGTCCCAATGGTGATGTACATCATCACAGTAATGTTTTTATCCAGAAGTGTCACTATCTCCTTTCCTTTTGACTCTGGAATCATTATTGCAACGATGTCTTGCACACCTGTTGTGAGGATGGTGGGGTACAAGGGAAGGGGGTGGGGTAGGAGAGAGAAAGAAAGCATAGTAAGAGAGCTAGAACCAAGCAATGCTCACCAAACTACCCGACATCTTTGGACAGGTCTATGAATGCTGAGAAGGAGGAATAATAGGAAAAAAAAAGAGTTCTTTCGTTGCTCAGCTACATTGCTTTATAGTACACAAGGCAGGTTATGTAGCTCAATTTGATTCTGGATGATAAATATTGATCAAGCACTTACTGAGTATAAGGCACTATGTTAGGCTCTAAGGGGAATAAAAAGATGAGAAGGAATAGCTTTTCATTTTGTCTTTGTATCCAAGAATTACAAATGTAGAGCTTGAAGGGACCTTGTAAGTCATCTAAGCCAGCCCCTTCATTTTACAGATAAGAATGAGGCTAAGAGGGGTGGTTGGATAACTGAATTAACCATGAATCCTGTCCTAAATCCTATCCTTGCTCCAAAGGCATGGTTAATTTCTTTTTTTTTCTTTTTTAGGCAATTGGGGTTAAGTGACTTGCCTAGGGTCACACAGCTGGTAAGTGTCAAGTGTTTGGTCTGAGGCCAGATTTGAACTCAGGTCCTCCTGACTTCAGGGCCGGTGCTCTATCCACTGTGCCACTTAGCTGCCCCCACGGTTAATTTCAAGGTCACAAAAGTAGACAGTGGCAGAGCTGATTTGGTACCAGTCCCAGTGATTCCAAAACTCAGTGTGCCACCTATTATACACCCTTGCCTGCCCCTGAATACCTAGGACAGTGCCTTGCACATTAATAGGTACTTTACAAATGCTTATGGAATGGACTACAGAGAGACAGTCCCTGACTTTGGGGACTTTACAAAATAGTAGAGAACAGGAAGGGATAGGATAAGAGAAGTAAACAACTTAATAAAAGCAGACATTTACACAGTGTTTTAAGATTTACAAAGCTCTTTAACGCATGAGTTCATCTGATCTCTACAAATTATTATTACTCCCATTATACAGAATAGGAAAGGGCAGCTATGAAGTGCAATAGATATAGCGCTGGGCTTGGAATCAGAAAAACTCATCTTCATGAGTTCTAATCTAGCTGCAGACACTTCCTAGCTGTGTGACCCTAGGCAAGTCACTTAACTCTTTTTGCCTTATCTATAAAATGAGCTGAAGAAGAAAATGGCAAACCACTCTAGTATCTCTGCCAAGAAAACCCCAAATGAGGTCACGAAGAGTTGGACACAACTGAAATGTCTCACAACAATACAGAAGAGGAAACTGAGGTTCAGAGAGGGGAGGCAATTTGCCTCTGGTCATAGAATTAAATAGTATTGAAGCCTGAAATTAAACCAAACCTCCCATGAATTGAAGTCTTGAGTGCTTTCCACTTTACCATACTGGTTGGGGGTAAGGGGTGAGGACCAGGGAAGGTTTCGGAGCTGAAATTATATTTGAGTAAGGTTGAAATTATATTTGTGTTAGTATGGTATGGATAGGAATTTTATATGCAGATCTTGGGGGAGGAAGGTAAGAAGGGAAGAAAGGGATCCAGGTTCTGAGAGAAGTCTGAACAACAGCATAAAGGGGGAAGGTGCAAGATATGGATAACTGGGCTGCAAAGAGGATAGAGTACTAGATCTGAAGTTAGGAAAACTAATTTCCTTTTGGTACTCAACAGCTGTACAACCAGGGACAAATCACTTACTTTCTATGAATCTATTTTCACACCTATGAAAAAGGAGTAATAGTAGCTTCCTCTCAGGCTCAAATGAAATGCTTTTGCAAAATGTTTTGCAAATCTTAAAGCAAGTGCTATGTACAAAAATCCTGTATTATATTTTTTCATTAATACAAATTATAAAATTGTGATTATAATTAATGATTATATAAATTACATATGATTAGGGGACAGCAAGGCATCTAGTGTTGCTTGAGTATGAAGTGTATAGGGAAGGAGTGAGAGATAAGACTGGAGACATTTTTGTCCAAAGCCTTCATTTGGAATATAGTAAAACCATCGCTGGTTCCAGAGGTGGGTAGAGACAACTATCAGGGAGGTAGCTATAATTCCCAACAATGGCATCAAGTGGTAGGGTTTAAATGATTCTTTTCAATGAGGCCAGGATGCTGTCTTAGCAGTTAGGGTACAGCGTGGAAAGAGCTAGGAGAAGGTGGCCCTTTTCACACTGGCACTTCAGTGTACTGTCATGGAAAAAGCACTGGATTTGCCATAAAGAGACCTGAGTTCCAATCCTCGCTCCAACATTTGCTGGCTGTATAACTCACCTTATGTCTCTGAGGCTCAGTTTCATCACCTGTAAAATGGGAATAATGGTAATGCATACTAATGACCTCAAAAGGGTCCTGGTAAAAAAAAGTGCCTTATAAACTTGATAGCACTGAAATAACGTGGGCTGTTAGTATTCAGTGATGGAACACTATGGAGAGAGTACTTTAGATATGTAACTGAAATGCAAGCACTATCCTGCTGGGTTCCACTTGCCTGGGTACATACTCTGGTCAAACTCTGAATATTCAATGAAATAAAATTGTTTATCATTTCAAGAAAGCAATTTTCTCCTACAGCAAGTACTCAAACAATGACAAATAGATTCTTCTAAAGCTATGGGGTAACTTGCCAACAGATAACATCGTCATATACCTTTTTTCTAGCTTCTTTTCCTAAATTCAAGGGAAACAACTATTTTTTTTAGCATTTTTGGAAATGAAAAGATTCTCTGAGCTGTGTTTCTTCAAGTGAAGTGAAGTGAAATGATTATTAGGCAAATAATCCTGAAAATTTAAGCAACCATTATCTCCTCCTCCTCAGGGAATCTCACAAATAACAAAACCACAACAAATCTTTTGTCATCATTATTTGCTTATTATCTAAGAGCCAGTTTTGAGTAGTAGATGGAGAACAGCTTCTAAGTAATTAAAATCTCTGTTGAAGACTTGCCTCTGAATCATAACAGCTATATCACCCTGGGCAAGTCCCTTATTATCTCAGTGTCCCAGACAACTTTCCAAGGCTCTAAGTTACTAAATAGTAGCACAGAGGGTCTCTAGGTGTGGTCTGAAAACTCCTGGGAGTCCCTGAGACCTTTTCAGGGGGTCTGAGAATTCAAAACTATTTTATAATATTGATGTTTGAATTTCCAATACAGTATACAACCCCCATAAATGACTACTCTTGGGGGGGAGGGGCTAAATTTTTAGGAGTGTAAAGAGGTTTGAGAACCACTGAAAATAGTACTTCTGTAACAGTTGAGGGAATTCCATGTACCAATGAAATCACAGGCCTAAAGCAAAAAGTAAAAAAAAAAAATTAAAAATCTGCCCAATTGAAGACAAACAGGTTTTATAGGACTGAACCTTCCTGACAATTGGCTTTTTCTTCCCTTTTGTCTCTGCAGATTTACTCTCACCGGGAGTTGCATCAGAATTAGTGTGTTCACTCAAAGGGGTTATGACAGGTCAGGGGTAAATATTTCAATAGTGATAGAATATCAGAGAGGCTGCAACATGGGGGCAGTGATATATTACAGAACCAGTCTGGTGTCTGTGGCTAGCCCATGGGACCGCAAATCAGGAAACCTGAATTCAAATCTCCCCCAGTCTCTTGTTAACTATCTAAATACTTTTGTTATTCTCAGTCATGTCCAACTCTTCATGACCCCATTTGGGGTTTTCTTGGCAAAGATACTGCAGTGGTTTGCCATTTTCTTCTCATATCTAAATATAGGAAAATCATTTCATGTCTCAGACCTCTATTTTCCTCACCTGTAAAATGGGAATACTAATACCATCCTCTTATCAAGGTTGTGAGAAAGCTACTTTGTAAGCCTTTAAAGTGGTGAGTGAATATGAATTCTTATTAGCTATGTGCATATTTCTTGTTCTGTATGTTCTCCCCACTTGGGAATTCAGAGCACTTTTGGACCTTTTCTATTTCACTCATCATGTGACATTATATCACCAAGGAGAAATGATACAGGGATTAAATAAACACACACACACAAATTGTAACAGTAGGAAACGACTAATTATAATAGCAGAGAATTCCTTTTTTTTAAACTTTTTTAAACCTAGAAGAGATTGTTGCCTTTTTAAAAGGATATTGTTTTTGTTGCTTTGTATTTTGTTGTTGTTTCTGATAAGTTAGAAAGATACTGAATTTTTGCATTTTTAGTGATATAATGTATCCCCAAAGTCTTAGTGCACTTTAAAGCTACTAAAGTTTAAAATAGCACTTAAGGCTTTTGAGACATTCTATGTATCTGTGCTGAAATCTTATTTCCTTATAAGACTGTAAGCTCCTTAAGGGCAGGGATTGTGCTTTTTTTAAACTTTGTATCTCCTCTTTCCAGAGGGCATGGATTGTTTTATTTCAATTTTTATACCTTCCAATAACTAACAAAGTGCTTTGCATGTAGTAGGTGCCTAATAAATGTTCATTAAATGAATGGCCATCAATTGAACCAAGACAGTCTGAAGATAAAAGGTTCATTGTGCCCTAGAACTTCTCCTTTTGACGTTAGTGTCCCTGTGTGCGTGCCCTCTTTCATATAGAACGATGAGGAGGAAGAACAATATTGTTTCTATTTGTACCCTCAGTGCTTTGTACACAGTAAGTGCTTAATAAATGTTTTATACATTCATTTTTGTAGATTTATAGTTGGAAGGGACCTCTGTGGTCACCTAGTCCAAAGCCCTCATTTTATAAACAAGACAACTCAGGCCCAGAGAACAGAAGTGATTTACATAAAGCTTGGCATACAATAGGTCCTTGTTGACTGGCTGATGGGTTGATTGATTGTCCAAGCAGACACAGGACTGGCAACCAGGTGTTTTAATTCCAGACTTATATTTTTTCCATTGCATTACACTCCTCTTGACATCTACTGTCAGGTCACCCTATCCTTATTGTTAGAGGCAACTGAAAAGAATACATTGCTAGACAAGAAAACATGCTAGCAAACAATTAATGTTGCTTCACCTGACTTG